GGAAAACGTTATTTGGTGTATTTGTTAGAGATCATACTTTCTGTGAGTCCTCCGGTGTTACTTGGGTCTACCCAATTCATGTACTGTCAGCGCGTGGTTACTTGAAGGCACTTAGGTACAGTCTGAAGCACCTCAATCCTTACCTTCCAGATGTGTTTTTCACACACCGAAGGAAGCTCTCAGATCTGTACATCTCCGTCTTACACAGGCAATACAACACCCTGCGATGTCTCTCCAACAACAACTTCCTGCAAATATGTATGGCTTCCAAAAACGTGTCCAATAAATGTCCAACGATAATTCGTATTTCTCACTTGCGATACGCCACGATAACGTAAAAGCACTTGCCATCCTGTTACGCGCACAAGAGAAAAACAGCTATAGATCTGACTCCCCTCTTGAAACCATTCCACTAATATCGGAAATGATATCTGAAGCATTCAGAGCGGACTCCGAGAAAGTGTTGCGATACTTCATCAATAGACACGATTCATTCGAAAGACTTCTTGATATAGCTACATCAGAGAGTATACTCCAGGTAGTAATGGAAAAACCATCCACAAAGCTTTTACAACTGGTGATTAAAAAGCGTCTGTTTACTCTAGATCAACTGTTACAAGCAGCTGTGGATCTGTAACTGCATACTAAACGTAATATAGTACATCCTCTTGGTTTTTTTTTCATAATGGAGTCATGTACTTCGGATTTTTATTTTATTCAAATACGGAACTTTTTGTTTTGACAGTACTGATTTACTTTAACACAATAAGACTAATTACTGTCGTATGATAAAAGGTACCATGACAATATTTTACTGATTTATGATTTTTGAAATCAGAGGTAACTACGTTTTATATATGGAATGTAAACTATACGCTCGTGGAGGAAAGCTCATATACCAATACACACAGACAAAAAATACCACTGCATAAACATCTAAGGATACAATTTAATCTTCAAGTCGAAACAAAACTTCGAATGCTGAAAAAAAAAAAATTGCAGAAATCAGTTTCAAGAAAATTAATGAAAAATAATTACAAATATATTGAATATCTTTACAGATAATGTGGAGGCTGCCAAAACGATTCTTGAAACAGGAGAGAAGAGAAATGAGAGCTTTTATCCAGATTGCTTACCTGTGATTTTGCATAGCTCCAGTAAAATGTTAGAGATCCTCGAAGGATCGCCTATTGTGACCCCAGGCACCATCACCGACTACTACGAGAACTACAGATTGGCCAGGACTATTGTATGGGCAAAGGTATTCAAATTCCACGATTTTGTTACCATAATGAGTCGGATACAATTCCCTGAAGTGGACATGTATGTGCAGGATCTAAACAACCCTCTCATAGACATCTTTCACATCGAAATCAAGTCCAGCAAAGTATCAAGAACGGCGTTATCGAAACGTCTGATAGATGAAGGCTGGTGATCAGTAAACACGACTAATTCTTGCAACACAACACCCCTCACTAAAGTTTTCAAGGTAGCAGACTACACGTACGCACGTATGCTGCTGTTCTTGGAGCAGACCCATGTTTAGGTGATGGCTGCTTCAATCTTTTGTATAAAGAAGTGATCAGGGAAGTGTTGTACGTAAATGCTGACATCTACTCTGATAAAAGGTGTATGCAGTGCCTTGCACATTTCAACATAGCAGGGTACAAGTCCATGACTGAGAAATCCAGACTATTTATGTAGACAATGAGGTCACTTCATACTTTTCCCATAGATCTGAAGGAACACTTGTCAAAGAGACTTGATGGCTTCACCAAGACCACACCTCTGTCTGAGGAGCACCTACATGAATTAAATGATATGATCAATCAACCACGCCCGCTGTATATTCTATGCGGAACAGGCTGAGGATACACTTTGATATTCACATTCACGAATTCGTCAAATCTGTGGTGGTGCCCAGTGCGAAAAATGTTACTTTTACAAGACTGTTTACAGGACTTTCAGATCGTCACATAAGATCAGTTATAAACAAAAACCGATTTGATGTGTTTTATTTCACTTTTGGAAATTCCACTTTCTCCTCTAGATCTATGCTGGTGCACTGCTACATAAAAGACAACAACATATATTATAAAATTGTAACGCAATTTTATCAATACATTAAAAACATGATAGATGATACGATATTTAATGATCCGACAACAATAAAACTCATGTACCTCAAACTCCACCCCGGAAATAAATGTCTTCAAACCAAGTCAACTATCTTCTCATTTCAACACATCATGCATAAGCCCAGCATCTCTTCCTCTTAATCAAAGCCATTGATTACATCAATCGGTTTGTTCTTGATTTTTATTTTTCCAAGGACATTTCAAGACCATTGAAAGTGAAGCTTAACACTATTTGCTACAATGTCCTTTTAAACAAGTTTTCTTACGCTAAAAATTCTAAGGTCCAGACAACCTGAAGATGACTAATCAAACACCATATCACCAAGTTCTGCCTCAATATAAACTGGTTAGGAAATGATGTAGCATTGCATAAACATGTTAAAAGCAAAAAAGTTAAGTTGATATAAAGAACAGGCCATGTTATGCACATAATTAGATGCGGAGTCTGAAAGCTATGTTTATACAGCTGTTCTAGACTACCAGTGAACAACCAGCTATCCTCATTGTGTTCTGTTTATAAATGGATCTTCATTCAGCTATCCTCATTGTATTCTGTTTATAAATGGATAATTTAAAGTACAAACTGTATGTACATTTTAATACAGGTTTTTTTATCAGATGCATAATGTAAACAAGAGGCCCATGGGCCTAAACGGTCACCTGAGTCTACAGTATTTATTTTTGTTGTTGAAATATGTACCAATTTGAGTAAAAAATAGTATAATGTTAACTTAACTTTGTCAGGACCATGAGCTGATCATTCCTAGACCAATTTTAAGTGAGATCGGCCTATTAGAACTTAGTAGCAAAATAGCGGCCATGGCAGCCAAATTGTATTTCTGATTGACCCGAAAAATAACAACACTTTGTCAGGACCATGATTCGATCATTCCTACAAAGTTTCAGTTCAATCGGCCAAGTAGATCTTTACTTTAAGTTTGAAATAGTTTA